CCCCCAGGATGGGTGCTGGGCTTGGCAGGGGCAGAGCGCGGTTAGAGACAAACCCGCATCCACAGAGGTCCACAGAGGTCCACAGAGGTCCACGACGCAGAGCAGTGGCATTTGCTCAGAAGAGAGAATTTCCATTTCTCAGGCATGGTATAAATGCTCCTCTGTTCCAAAAGCCGGTTGCCCAGTGACTGCTCAGGCTCTCTGTCTGTAAGAAAAACAAAGAAGCAAACGAACAAAAGTTACTGCTGCCAAGTTGTTGAAGCCCAAACGTCTTCCTCCCATCCTCTACGCTCTGACCTCTGTCCCAGGTCACCACCAAGCTCGCGGCATGGAACGGCTGGCTCCTGGTGTCTGGGAGAACCAGGCCAGCTGCATGCCTGTTCCCGTGGGCGTTTCTGATGAAGATGGTAGGCCCAGGCCCAGCTCTGAGACAGCTCTGGGAACTAGCCCGCGGGGCTGGCAAGGGCTGGAGCACCCCGGCCAAGTGTCCTCTTCCCTCGGCCCTCGGCCTCCCTGTGACCCCCCCACTGAGAGAAACAGACGGGTGGGGGTGTGCACACAGGTGACCCGTGCTGGTGATGCAGTGAACGAGCTGAGCTGGCGCCTGTTCTCCTTGGCTGGGCCTGGAAGTGTCCCCACCACTGCGTGGTTAACCGCAGTGGTCGGAGTGCCAGAGGGCCCACGGGGCTGGGTGATTGCCAGCACTTGAATGTCTGTTGAGTTTAAATCACTTCTCGCCAAACCTGCCCAGGCCACAGCAGCAGAGGGTGGGTTCCCAGCAAAGGCGGGCTTGCTCGGAGTGCTGGCCTGCTCACCTCCCGCCAGCACACGGCCAGGAGAGGGCCCTGCCCTGCACATGCTGAGGCCAAGGCCCCGCTGCTACCTCGTAGCCTCTGCACAAGCCCACATGCTCACACTCATCCAGGTGTGTGCATACTCATGTGTGTGCCTCACATGTGCATGCGTAGGCATGTAGACACATGCTTATAAACACAGCCTGCTCATGTGCAAATGCTTACACATGCACATACCTCAGCCATGTACATACATATCCACACACCCATACATGTGTGCATGCTCACGTGCACATGCACATACACAGCCACACTCACATGCAGAAACCGTGGTTTGGCCCGGCTGCCCAGAAGTGGCTGTCACTGCCGCTGAGGGAAGGACACAGCAGAGGCTGCACTCCTCCTCGCAGGCCCCGGGCTCCTGCTTGCTGGCAGAGCTTCCTCTGGGTGACCTGACCTCTGGCCTTTGCTTCCCACTCCCTACCACCCAACTCCTGCAACCTCTGCTTCGTGCTGGGACAGCCCTGGCCCTTCAGTGGCTGGTAAACCAGCCATGTGCAGTCAGCCAGCCCTCCCTGGGGACACCACTGTGCCCACAGTGTGGACAAAGCCCCTCAGGCCCCTGCTGCCTGGAGACGGCTGCCAGGCCAGCCTCTCACTGCTCTGCACTGCCAGGCCCAGGCCCGGGGAGACCCGGTGTCCACGGAGCCCCTGACAAGGACGGCTGCTTCGAGAAGGGCCTCCTGCCTGAGGGAGCCCCGCTGGTCCCCTGAGCACCCTCTGGAGACTCACAAGGCCAGTTCTGAAGGATCCCTCCTGAGCGTGCGGGACGCTCCATGTCCTGGGAGGCAGGACCTGCCGGAAAGGACTCAAGTCTTGTCTTTGGGTTTGACTCTGAGCTTTTCCTGAGTGGGCGTGGCCATGACGGGGAGGAGGCACTCTTTGGGGACTCTCCCTGTGCAGGCGGTGAAGGGGCCACAGGGCGCACTGGGGTCCTCCCCTTCGCAGTGCTCTGCGGGCCACCCCTACAGGTCCCTGGGCAGTTCTGTGAAGGAGACAGGCTGGAAGTCAGTGCCGGCTAGGCCATGCAGAGCGTAAGAAGGGCTCTCATTGCAGACTGGGAAGAGGGAGAAAGCAGCTCTGCGGTCTCTGGGAGAGTCATAGCCAGGCCAGAGGCCCGCGGAGCTGAGGTCCTTCCAGAGAAGACCCCGTCTATCCCAGCAAAGAGATCTGGCCCCTGTCCTGCTGCTGTCCTCCGATGCCTGCCACCCCAGGCAGACCAAGGGCGTCAGGGCCCGAGGAGTCCTGGCACAGCCGAGGTGGAGGAGGTAGACAGAGAAGGGGTTTCAGGGGCTTGGTGAGAACTGGAGGAGGGGTGTGAGGGCAGTGCCCTTGGTCCCCAGATCAAGGCGAGATGTACACTGTGTGTGATCTGCCCGGCAGAGGGGCTTGGTGCAGCAGGTCATCCATGGGCCTGGCCCCCTTGCTATATGGGGGTTCACAGTGGGGTGGAACCCTCTGGTCTGGCTGGGGCTGCTCTCTGCGTGGCAATGGTGTGAGGCGCTGCGCAGCTGTAGTTGCAGGCGTTTGGAGGAGGGCCGCTGTGTCTGGAGCACCTGACCTGCAGAACTCATCCAAGTTAAGTCATTGGGTATTGGACCAAACCCCAAACCCGGCTCTACTTCCCACTGGGAATGAAACCATGCCCCACTGTGTGCCGTGAGAGCAGCGTCCCGTCCTGGTTCTTGGGAACATGCTGGGCTGAGCCGGGCCGAGCCAGGGCCATGTCGGTGCAGGA